CAGGTAACAGGCAGAGCCACACCACAGAGGCCCCTGCCCTCGAGTGGGGGAGCGAAAAAAGAGGGCCAGAAAAGGGCTAGCAGAGTCTGGGGGGCACAGGGAGCGCTGTAGCCGCCTGCCCCCTACTCCCATCACTTCGCCCCTCGCTCACATCTACCACAGCTGGCACAAAGACAGTGAAGGATCCCCGCCTCCCCTACTTTGCTGCCCACATCTGGCCACTGTCGCTCTCACCCCCAGAGCTCACCGTGCCAGGGGCTCGTGCTGGTCCATTCCACTTCCCTGCCTCTGGTGAGGGGAAGTAGACTGTTCCAGCCACGGAGATGGCCACCCATACATCCAAGATCTGGGTCCCGGCAAAGCAGAGCGGCAGGTAGCTCACAAGGACCTCCTGGCCATTAGGCGGACACTTGTACTCTAGGCTCTGAACAGTGGCCGCTGTGGTCCATGTGATCTGAAAGATACCTCACTAAGTCAGGCCTAGGTTCTTAGTTCCAACATCTACCTCACTGGGCCAGTTCCCTCCGGGAGCACCGCTCACATTGTCGTGGCTGAGCATGGTGGCCTTCGGGGGCCCAGAGATGCCCTGTTTGTATACCAAAGCACAGCACTGGTTAGGCTTCTGTGAGTCGATGATTTGGTCCAGTTTTTCATCCGAGATGCCATCTGCGAGGTCCAGGAAGCCTTTCCACTGCAGAAAGGCTGGCCAATGGGCTTTGGAGGAGTCGAGGCTGCCCCAGAGACCCTCCCAACCCAGCCACCTTAGCTCCATCTGTGTACTGGAATAGTAGTCATGAAAGGAAAGCCATTTGATACATGCTCCAAAGTGGAGGAACTTCAAGAGCACAATGCCAGGCACATAAGGACACACACTAAAGAACCCCACTTTGGCTTCTCTGGACTCTCCGTGCCACCCAGCACCAGGCTTGCCCTCCGTGTCTGGGCCTGTGCCTGGTTTTCCATCTCTGACTCCCCTGTCCGGACATACCGAGTATAGATTTGGCTGTACTTCCTGGATGTCTTCTCTGTATTGTATGATGGCCTTGAGATGCTTCAGGTAGCCCTGGATCTGCAGGACACCATGGGGGCAGCATCAGCAAAGGTGGGGGCTCCTGTAGCTCAGGCTGGACTCAAACTCACTATGTAGTGGAAAGTGACCTTGAAATCCTGACTGGCCTTAGGTACTGGGGATGGAGCCCAGGGGCTCATCCATGCCGGGCAAGCACTGTGCCTGCTGAGCTCAGCTCCAGTGCTCTTTTCTTTTGAAATTTTATCTTATGTGCATTGGTGAATTGGTATTTTGCCTGCATGTATGTCTGTGTGAGGGTGTCATATCCCCTGGAATGGGAGTTACAGACAGTTGTAAACTGCCATCTGGGTGCTAGGACTTGAACCCAGGTCCTCTGGAAGAACAGTTGGTGCTCTTAACCACTGAGCCATCTCTTCAGCCCCAGCCCCAGATAAAATTTTTATCATGTGTCCATATATGTGTACCTGCATGGCTTCTTTGCTATGTTGAGGCCAGAAGGGGTATCAGATCCCTGGAACAGGAGTTACAGGTGCACCTGAACCACAGTGTGAGTGCTGAAAACTGAACATGAGAGCAGCCAGCAGAATGTTTGCAAGTGCTCTTAAGTGCAGAGCCAGCTCTTCAGCCCCTGCCCCAGTGTTCTTAACATGTGAAAATACACAATTATTCCATTTTAAACCATTTGATTTTCTATTCCATGCATGGAGCCTCATATACACCAAACAGGTGTTCCACAACTGAGACACACCCTCCCCAATTCCTTACCATTCCTTCCTATCTTATTTCATTTCTGGTGCATGTATGTGTGTGTACATGCTCACACATGCATGGAATCGGTGTTTTCCTCTACTGCTCTCCACAGTTAGAAGTTTTTAAATTTAGTGCTCTTACTGTGTTTTGTGAAGCAGGCATGGGCGTCCCAGACCCCACAGATCCAAGAAAGTCCCACTAGCCCACTCAAGCTTATGGCTCTGGTAGCCCTGCCCTTCCCTCCATCCCCTCTGCCTTGAAAAAAAAATAGATTATATTCCTAAAGCTACACACCAAGGTCTATTCTTTATTTGGCCACTTCCTCTTGCTGTGTCTGACTACCAAGATTCAGCTATCAAAGTATTGAAGTCCAGCAACCAGAAACCCACTGTGGCTCACCTAATAACACGCCCATTTAAAATTAAAGACTACATCCTAACACAGGGTTTCCTGTTTTACCTTCACAAACCGCCATTTTCCTTTAAGCCACATCTGTCTCCTCTCTATCCAGAAGCAGTCCTTTGTCCTCTAGGGCAAATACCCCTGCCCCCTCTTCCTTGTTCCTTTCCCCTTCTCCCTCCTCCTCTCTCTCCTATCTTTGTCTCTTATTCCCTGCCATCTGTCCCTTTGTGCAAACAAATACCCTTTGTGCTGAGAACTTGGTCCTGTGGTGTCTAGTACAGACACCAGTCCTTTTACTGAGACCATCCCAGAACCCACATACCCCCAGAGACTCACCTGGTTAACCTTCTGCAGCTGTCTCTCATTATCCACCACGAAGATGTCCATCTCTGAGGTCTCAGCAATGACCTGGCAGGCTTTGGGTGAGTTGGTGCACAGAATGCCCACAGAGATGCCACTGGAAGCAGAGTGCAGGAGCTGAAGTCCTAGTGAGTGAGTGCTTTGGGGAATTGTGGGGTTTTGGGGGGGTCTTTATACCTCCTTAGAAGCTGGGACTCAGGGGATCCCCTTTCAGAGCTCCCACAAATGTTCTACGTGAGTATAAGGAGGACTCAGTGCTAGGGTATCCAAAGAAATAAGTATATCTGGAGGAAAGGGTATAAATGCTGGACTAAAGAATGTATATGAGTTTGATGGGGAGAGAATGGAAGGGAGAAATGAGTTTTCTAAGGGCTGTGTTGTTGACAAACCCTGTCAAAAACTTAACTGTAGCCCATGTGTACTCCCTGAACTGAAAGAACCCAACTGGTTTCCAAGGACAGGCCATGGTGCCCCTTACCCTGCCATGATGGCTCCAATGTTGGCAATCACCCACTCTGTGGAGTTGGAGCCCATGATACCCACACCATGGAAGCGTTCCAGACCCACCTAAGGGAGGAGAAACCTTTGAGAGACTCAGCTGTCTTCACCCTGACTTCACAGGAATCTTTTTTGTTTTGGTTTGTTTGTTTCTTTCTTCCAAACAGGATTATTCTGTGTGTCTTTGTACCCTGACCTGAAACTCTCTCTGTAAACCAGACTGGCCTAAAACTCACAGAGATCATCCTGCCTTTGCTTCCCAAGTGCTGGGATTAAAGGTGTGTGCCACCATCGTCCGATTCACAGGAATCTTTAGATAAGAATCTCAGTCCCTTCATTTGTCCTCCACCTCCGGGTGCCACATAGCAGTAATGCTAAGCAAAATATCTCCACCACACTCTTATGTTACCCATTCATCCACATGCCTGTGAGCCATAAGAGGCTATCAATCAACCAACCATCCACCATCCATCCATCCACCCATCTATCCAAACATCCATCCATCCATTCATGAACCCATCCAATAGCACAGCCACCATCCACCCATCAATCCACCAATCCGCCCATCCATCCATCCACCCATGCATCAATCCATTCATTCACCCATCCACCCATCTACCCATCAATCCATCCACCCATCCATCCATCCATCCACCCATCTACCCATAAATCCATCCACCCATCCACCCATACATCCACCCATCCATCCATCCATTCATTCATCGACCTACCTATCCATCCATCCATCCATCACCCATCTACCCACCATTATCCACCCACCCCATCAACCCATCAAACATCCACCCATCCGACCATCGATCAATCCATCTAACCATCCATTGAACACCCATCCATCCAACCATCCATCCAACATCAATCCATCCATCCAACCATCCTCCAACCATCCATCCACCATCCATCCACTCACCGATCCATCCAACCATCCATCAATCCATCCATCCATCCACCCACCCACCCATCCATCCATGCACCAATCCATCCATCCATCCATCCACCCATCCTTCCATCCATCTATTCATCCATCCATCCATCCATCCACCCATCAAACCATTCATCCAACCATTCACCCATCTGTCCACCCAACCATCCATTTCCCAATCCATCCACCCATCCACCTATCCATCCATCCACCCATCCATCCATCCACCCACCCATCAACCCATCAAACATCGACCCATCCAACCATCGATCAATCCATCTAACCATCCATCGACCACCTATCCATCGAACCATCCATCCAACATCAATCCATCCATCCATCCTCCATCCATCCATCCACCATCCACCCATCTGTCCATTTCCCGATCCATTCACCCATCCATCCATCCACCATCCATCCACCCATCAAACCATTCATCCAACCATTCACCCTTCCATCCATCCACCCATCCATCAATCCATCCATCCACTCATCAATCCATCCCTCCATCAATCCACACATCAATTCACCCACCGATCCATCCATCCATCCATCCATCCATCAACCCATCCACTTATCCATCCATCCACCCACCCATCCATCCATCCACCCATCCATCCATCCATCCACCCACCAATCCACCCATCAATCCATCCATCCATCCACCGATCCGTCCATTCCCCCATCCATCCCCCCATCCATCCATCCATCCATCCATCTATCAATCCATCCATCCATCAATCCACCATGCATGCATCCATCCACCCACCGATCCATCCATCCACACATCCATCCATCCATCACCCACCAATTCATCCATCCACCAATCCATCAACCATCCATCCAACCATCCATCTATCCATCCACCATACATCCATCAATCCATCCACCATCCATCCACCCACCAATCCATCCAACCATCCATCAATCCATCCATCCATCCACCCATCCATCCATCCATCAATCCACCATGCATGCATCCATCCACCAACCGAACCATCCATCCACCCATCCACACACCCATCCATTCATCCATCCATATATCCACCATCCATTCATCACCCACCGATTCATCCATCCACCAATCCATCAACCATCCATCCAAACATCCATCCATCCGTCCACCATCCATCCATCAATCCATCCACCATCCATCCACCCACCGATCCATCCAACCATCCATCAATCCATCAATCCATCAATCCATCCATCCACCCATCCATCCATACATCCATCCACCATCCATCCACCATCCATCCACCCACCCATCCATCCATCCACCCATCTATCCAATCATCCAACCATCCATCCATCCACACATCCATTCACCCATCCACCCATCCACCATCCATATACCCATCCACCAACCGATCCATCCATCCATCCTCCATCCATCCATCCACCAATCCATCTATCCATCCACCCATCCTTCCATCCATACACCCATCTACCCATCAATCCATCCACCCATGCATCCACCCATCCATCCATCCATTCACCATCGACCACCCATCCATCCAACCATCTATCCAACATCAATCCATCCATCCATCCATCCATACATACATACATACATACATCCTCCATCCATCCATCCATCCACCATGCATCCACCCACCGATCCACCCATCCATCCATCCACCTATCCGTTCATTTCCCCATCCATCCACCCAACCACACATCCACCCATCCATCCATCCATCCACCATCCATCCATCCATCAATCCATCCACACATCCGTCCACCCATCTGTCCATTTCCCCATCCATCAACCCATCCATCCATACACCATCCATCCACCCATCCACCCACTGATCCATCCATCCCTCCATCCATCCACCCATCTGTCCATCCACAATGCATTCACCCATCCACCCATCCATCCACCATCCTTCCATCCACCCATCCACCCATCCGTCCATCCATCCCTCCATCCATCTACCCATCCATCCACCATCCATCCACCCATCCATCCATCCATCCATCCACCCATCCATCAATCAGTTCATCCATCCACAAACCCACTCATCCATCCACCCATCCATCAATCCACCCACCCATCCATCCATCCATCCATCCCTCCATCCATCCACCCATCCACCCACCATCCATCCACCCACCCATAATCCCATCAACCCTCCACCCATTCAACCATAGATCCATCCATCTAACCATCCATCGACCACCTATCCATCCAACATCAATCCATACATCCACCCATCCACCCATCCATCCATCCATCCATCCTCCATCCACCCACCCACCGATACACCCATCAATCCATCCACACATCTGTCCACCCATCTGTCCATTTCCCCATCCATCCACCCATCCTTCCATCCACCCATCCACCCACCGATCCATCCATCCATCCACCCATCCACCCATCCACACATCCATTCACCCATCCATCCATTTCCCCATCCATCCACCCATCCATCTATCCATCCATCCATCCATCCATCCATCTATCCATCCACCCATCCACCCATCCATCCATCCCTCCCTCCATCCATCCATCCATCCTTCCATCCATCCATCCATCCACCCATCCATCCATCATCCACCCATCCATCCATCCATCCAT